TTCATTAGTTTGCCTCTTTTGGGAGTGCATACATTAGATTTTGAAATGCAAATTACCAATTTTTAAACTTTATTGGACTAATTACAAAAGGAACCTATGCAACTCCGACTAAAAAACCACAATTTAGCTAGTCGAGAAGACGAATATGTTAAAAATTAGGATCCGCCCTCAAGAGGGATTTCTGTGGGCATATTGTGTGCAATCTTGAAAGAATCAATAATGTTCCTAAGAAACAGAAGGAGGTATCCTAACGCAGGGATATCCTGACTTGTGCCAGATTAAAGATGCACTACGCAGTAATAAGTGGGACTCAAAACGGTGACGTCTGGATAAGAACCAATGAAGCTACCGAGCTTACATTGTTGGTTAGCCTTCAATTTGAAAGCATGACAACTAGGGGTGGCAATTCGGGTCCAAATCAGGTTGACGGGTCGGGTTCGGGTCAACCCGTCAGAAAATCTGTTGACCCGAACCCGACCCGTCAACCTGTGACGGGTCAGGTATGCTGATCCGAACCCGAAAATTTCAGGTTGACGGGTTGACGGGTCGACCCAAAATGACCCGAAACTTAATTTTAATTTATTAATTTATCACTGTAATTTCTAATAAAATTAATTTCTCACAAAACTAATTACATAATCAAGTAATAAAAATTTTAATAAATAATTCTAAACCAAATCTAAAATAAATTAAACACCGTAAAAGTGTTTTATCCCAAACAAAATATAAAATAAATTAAAACAGTATAAAAGTAAAAAATAATATAATATATTATTTGTCCAAATATAATAATTTCAACTTCACACAAATTAAATAAATTCATTTAGGATTAAGTAATTAATGCCTTTGAAAAAAAGAATAACTTAGTTTAGTTAGATAAAATTATTTTTATGTTTATTAAATTATTTTTAATTCGTAAACGGGTCATATCGGGTCATATCAGGTCACCACGGGTTGACCCGAAATCGACATGTTTTCTTTTCGGTTTCATCGGGTTCAACCCGTTTCTGACCCGAATTCTCGAAACCTCAACCCAAACCCATTAATTTCGTGTTAGGTTCGTGTCGTGTTTTCAGGTCGTGTCGAAAATTGCCACCCCTAATGACAACAGCTGGTGCATCAGAGGACAAAGCAGGTCAGCATTCATCTAAATCTAAATATATAAAAGAGAGAGTTGGATTATGAATAGTGATTTTCTAAATATATAAAAGAAAGAGTTGGATTATGAATAGTGACGTTTTGTCAAGCGGTTATTTGGTAATTATGGGTAACTTTGATGGCTTTTGTATTTGTTGGCTTTTTCCTCTTTTTTTTTTTGCACAAATTAAAACATTTAATCAATATAATCACAACAATTATTTTTCTTTCATATTTTTTGTAAAATGCCGCTCACTAATATTAGATCATTAATCTATATTAAGAGCCATGTATTATTAAATTTATTTGAAATTTACAGTACTTTAATTTTTTTAATGTAAGAAACAATCTAAATAATGTTGAGTGTAAATACACAATTATTGAGGAAATAATTAATAAATTATTATTGGCTTTAGTGACTTTAAAAAATGGATTTTATTACTGCGACATGAAATAAAATTGTTTGGAAAAAAATGAATGCATATATTGCAAAAAAATGAAATAAAATAGTGCTCTTTAAAATTGTTGAATGCAGTGATTGTTTAGCATGTTCAACAGTAGCTTTTGACTGCATGATTCCCAAAAATTGAACAGCAGTAAAAAAAAAAAAAAAGAAAAATAGTCCAACATTGTTATCACAATTAACCAAAATCGGTTAAGGTGTCGTTGACTAAAAATGGTTTCTAATCCTACTACTTTTTAAAACATACAATTATAAAGATATATTAGTCTATATATCCATATTAGTCTATATAATTATTACAAATTTTTAATGCCCTTGTTTTTATTCTTATTTTTCATTCTATAAAAAAGAATAATTAGTATGTTATTTACTAATAGTCTGGGCATCCAATAACAATTGCAGGATAACCGCTTGACAAAAAAACATTGTTCATGGGGCAACTCTCACTTTTATATTGTTAGATAAATATCCATATTTAATGTATATATATAATTATTATAAAATTTTTCCTAATGGCTCTAAATTTAATGTATATATATTCATTTTTCCTAAAGGCTCTAAATTACTCTAAATTGAAAAGCAATGTTGTATGCTATTTTTTTATTATTCTTTTAGTCAAACATGCAACATTAATTACATTGTTTCTTACATTAAAAAAATTAAAGTACTGTAAATTTCAAAAACAATGTAATAATACATGGCTCTTAATGTGGATTAATGATCTAATATTAGTGAGCGACATTTTACAAAAATATGGAAGAAAAATAATTCTTGTGATTATATTGATTAAATGTTTTAATTTGTGCACAAAAAAAAGGAAATAGGCCCATATTTATGGAACTTAGTGAGTAATAGAGATATACATAAATATAGACGGGTATCTTTATAATTACCTCACCCAGACCACATAATTTATGCAAATCATACCACACAAAATGTCGACACTGTATTGTCTCAATTATAGTACTTTATTAACCATTATATTACAAAATATCCTCCATACTTCACAAACTATTAACACTATATTCATCCAACCAATTTACCGCACTAATATTTTATAATTTAAGCTAGACTTATAATAATTATATAACTCTCTACATTATAAGAAATATATAACGGCTAAAAATTAATCAACTTAACACGGAAAATATTAGCACTAGTTCTATTCAAACGAAAGAACTACAAGCCTTTTTTTTGGTTCCCCCGCGCCGGGGGGGGGGGGGGGTGCTGCAGCTGCGGAGGAATTTCAATTTTTATTATATCAACTGAAAAAAAAAACCTTGAATGAATCTGAAACTCCAAAAACGAGAAAATTTGCAGCATAAGAACGTAAGACTCGAAAATTAAATTTACTAGAGAGGGTTAATAACCAATGAGGACTAGTTGGACAAATACGTAGAGGAGGCCGCTCAGTAAGTAAGTAAGTTTTTCTTTGCCCTGATTCTGAAGACCGACATAGAATTAGAATAGCCGTTGAGAAATGAAGAAATCGATCACCATCAACCCAAGCTTTTCTTGTTATATCTGAATACGTCAACTCCTCCTGTGTTTCTGATTCTTTCAAAATTAAAACAACATTTCCATTCAATCAATAAAGATCCGATCCGATGATTCCAGGCACCAAACAAAGGTGCCTGCCTCTCCTAGTTTCCTCCTCAACTCTGTGATCATCATCACTTTTCTTTTTCCATTGATTTAAAAAAAGCAATCAATCGGATCCGGATGGTTATCTACTATCATCATCCATCCTTCACAGCTTGCGCTAATAATTTTTTTCCCCTTTTCTCATCAGTAACGGTCTTCCAGTATGCTGTAGAAGGTTTGGTTTATCTGAATGTCTTGTGCGAGAACATGAGCCACCGATGAGGAGGGTTTGGGGGTACTGAGGAAGGAACTTGTCTCTAATTATATTCATATCATCATCATCATCATCTACAAGATGTTGCTAGTCAGTCAATACATTATTATGTGATAGGACAGGACATTTGACTAAGAAGATTTGATTATATATATATATATATATAGTAGAGTTCCACTACACTATAGTGATAATATGAACTCAAGCTAACCATAACCATATAAGAGTGCTTAATTGATGACGTCTCTTCAATTTTAAAGAAATAAAAAAAACATGCAGAGATCATGCTCATTTTTCCCAATGATTTTCTCTTTTAATTCTCTTAATTAGTTCATTAGTCGAATTTATGAAAGAGGTGATAATGTAAACTTTACCACATACTGGGGACATGTACAGCAAGATTCTAAGCAGCCAAGATAAAACAATACCTACCCCATAAAGTAATTCACATTAGAAAGCTTAAAGATTAGCAGTACGGTATACAAGCAAGTGTAAACTTTCTTAGAGCTCTCCTAATCTTCAGTCTCCTCGTGATTATCACAGGTAATAATAAGCAACCAAGAAATAAATAAAAAGAAAGAAAAAGCAGCAAAGCATTAAAAAAAAAAAAAAGGCTGAAAGATTTGCACTGTGGCACTAAACTTCAACGAGCCTCCTAATCTTCCAATATGCACGACTACCGTAACAAATTAAGCTTGGTATGATCAAAATTTTGAAGAATTATTAATTAAAATTAATGGATTGTAATATGGCAGTAAGCTTCCCGGAACTTCTCCAGATGTTCTGGGGCCCATGATCATCAACGGACGAAACAAATAGGAAATATGCCGCCTCAGGTAAATATATGGGGGGAAAAAGAGAGAGAGATTAAAGAAAAAAAAAAGTTTCGGACCGAATATTATGATGTAAAATTTAGACAAGAACACAGGTACACAGAAAAAAATAAAATAGAATTTGGGGACAATACCTTCAAACGAAGCCGATAACCAAAGTAGATGAGTCGAAATTTTGAGGGGTAGGCAGGGAATATAAAAGCAGAAAGAAGGGAAAAACACGTATAAGAACCAGCGTTAGACACATGCACACATATTTTGCATCTTCAATCTGAAAGGTACGCCCTGATTACACTTGTTTACTGATTCTGCTTAGTAAGTTTTAACATGTTACTAACTTTGACTCTATTCTCTTGCTATGTCATCTGAAAAAATTTTAGTGAGATTCGTCACAATACTTATGCCCTATGCCGTTAAACAAGCCTACTGATAGATAGAATTACTGATAGATAGAACCAAGTTTGTTTCAATTTGATTGCTCGTATCAAAGCTAAGCGCTTGTTTTACTGCCGTTTGTGGCTTAAATAGTTACCATTGGATTGAAGTCAAAATATTAGACGGTGACAATGGCTCAGAATTCTGTGCGATATTGGATTGATATCTTGGTGAAATTGCTGTCTTCCATTCATCTTCTTCTTTTAATTAAGTCTTAATTACAAGAGGTATTGCAATCTTCCTTAAAATCAAACCGCCATTAGAATCAAAAGGGATGGACGTTGTGGAAGGGATGAACATGGAGCAGAGAGATTGGACTAACGTTCCAGAGGAGCTTTTGACCTTGATCTTGTCACATCTATTTCTGGACGATGCCAGGCGTTTCCGAAACGTGTGTAGAACATGGAAATCGGTCCCTGATCCCATCGAACAATCCCCAATCCGATTCCCGGTGCCTCAGTCGCAGTGGCTCATGCATAAAGATTTAAGCCGGGGGACATGCAAATTCAGCCATCCAGTTTATAGAGATGCATACTGCCTCGGTTCCCCTGAATTGTCTGGGCATTCACAGCCATCTCACCAGCCTCCTCCTGGTGGTGATACAGTTATTTCTTCTGTGCTACGTTTTTCCAAGGGGGGTTGGTTGCTAATGTCGAAAGGGCGCTTCTCGGTATTCTTTTACAATCCATTCACCAAAGCAAAGATGTATTTGCCACTTGTACCTGATCCTGAGCGTTACGTCTTAAGAGTTATAACGTTTCTGTCAACACCAGCATCTCCGGACTGCTTGGTCTTTGGTTTATCGGCCTTGTTTTACAGGCATGTGGCGATTTCAATCATTCGTCGTGGAGAAAAACATTGGAACTTCTACAGGTTCGAAAACAATCTGCCCATCATTCCATCTTACTGCAATCCAGTTTTCCACAAGGGCATGTTTTATTGCTTGGGTGAAGGAGGGAATTTGGGAGTTTTCAGTCCCGAGGACAATCAGTGGACTGTTCTTGTCAAACCCCAGAAAATCTATAAAGGAGGCCATGAAAGATATCTACTTGAGATTGATGGGGAGCTCATCTCCGTGTTTGTCCGGCGGCTGGGTTCACAGATTTCTGTTTTTAGGTTGGACGAGACAAAGATGGCTTGGGAAGAGGTATCTGATTTGGGTGATAATATGGTGTTTATTAGCCCCACAAATTCCTTTTCAAGAAAAAAAGTCATAGAAGGAATGCAAAATAAGATCTATTTTTCAAGGTTGCACAAAGGGTGTTGTGTGTTTTATTCACTCGACACTAAAAAGTTTCACACATTGCTGACGGATTTCTCGAGTGCAAGTCTATATAATACTCCGGAGCAATTGCGTAGCTGTTGGATTGAGCCAAGTGCAGATCATCACATTACTGAAGAACAACTCAACTGGTAGATGATTCCAAAACTTGACCCTCTTCAAGATTGTTATTCCTGCCTTAGGTGCACAGATGAGTTTTTAGTGAACCGTGCTTTTTGTTATCAACTTTCATTACTTTTGCTTCAACAAGCACTTTGAAGTGTGACATCTAATCCTTGTGAATACCAAAGACTTATTGTGAGTAGTTTCAGATGATCCAAAGATGTGCGGATTCAAGATACTTATTTTTTATCACTTTTGAGCAGTATACCTTTTGTCACTTGAAGAAGGATGTGCAAGGAGAGTGGATATGCCCAAAATACAAATTACATTTGCCACTTACACATCACACAAATCGCTTACACATTTTATTTGCAAATTTTGGACGAGAAAATGTGAGAGCAGAGTAGTTGAATGAATGATGCTCCACTTCTGGGTATTAATTCTTGGCATCAACGATGACTAAATAAAACCGCATAAAACTGAACTCCGCACAGTTTACCTTGCTATTTGACAATTTTAACACGTATACTAAGATAGAATCTTGTAGGCTGGAAGTTGTAAGCCTTCTTCTATCTTACCACATAGTTTTGTACACAAATGGATGAATCCAAACCAATTAAATGACATGTTTTATCATCTTTTCCTGTCCTTCATGGTTATTTTTCATTTTGAATGTTGCACGAGATCTCTCACTCATCAAACTCAGCCCCCCATGGAAAATAACAGTCTAATCATAATTTTTGCCTCATATTCTCTTCAGTGGAATCATACATTTTGAAGTTCATGTTGCGAAAACTGAAAGATTACAAAAAAATTTTTAAAAAAAGTTCGCCGAATAGGTAAAGAATGATTTTACTCTGACATTTGGTATTTCTAGTTTTGCCATGATCTCAGGTATGTGCTAAAGCATGAGATGCAACCTACTATGAGCAACCATCCTAATCCTATATCAAGATCCCACGATACTTTTCACTAGGGGAGCAGACAAATTTTCATATACCATCTATGGAAAGAGGTACTTGATTAACTAGGGATTAACAAAGCGAAACATTCTGTTATTGGGTTCCCACCATAAAACTAACAATAGACAATAGTACCTTGTTTTCTAATAACTCACAAGACTCGTAACTGAGAGGAATTTTTACCTTAGGACACAAATTTAAGAATTGGGAACTATTCAAATCTAAAGCAGAATCTTGAGATGAATGACAAATGATGTTTCAGTACTTTTCACTTTCAAGAGCATTAATTCGGATTGCCAAATTAAAAAAAAAAACAAAAAAAAGGGATTCTGATAAACATAGTGTACCTAGCATCTTGCAAAACTTTGAATCCTCGCTATCATTATTCAGGGGGCTTATCATGTTATGCAAATGTGATGTGATGATATAGTTATACAATCTAATGATATGAAACTGGTGCTTTAGCTTGCATGCTATGCAATTTCAAACGAAAAGCATTGCATGCGGGCACCCCATATGTGGGAAGGAACAGAAAACTGTCAAAGGATAGGATTTGATTAGATGGTAGGCAAAGCTAATATGAATGAAGTTGAGTTGAGTATATCACAAGGACTTGAAAATAGGGGTTCGTGGTTTCAATCTCTTCTAACTTGTAAACACGAAGATTAGTCTAGTAGGAACGTAGGTAGAGGTCTTTTCCGTCTCATCTGTTCTTAGAATGGCCATAACTCAGTTGTGATTTTGAAGGAAATATGCAACTCTTGATCTAATAAACTGAAGACAGGAATCGAGGGAATTTAAATTTAGATGAAAAACTCTTAGCTACTAGAAGATGTACGAGTGATTGGTGACTCTTGGTGCTTGTTCACTAACTTAAAAAGGCCAACAGTGAAATAACAGCACCGATAATATGGTGAAAAGAACATTGAACAATGGTCAATTCATCTTCGTGATGACAGCAACTGTTAGACATGAGATATGATGGTAGAATTTTCAATCAACAGGTAGTTTAAACCTCATGCATAAACTCCATATTGAAGGTAAAGGATATTTGTTTGGTTGAGATAGTTTAAGTTAGATTCCTTAATCATATCTACTAATCATGTAGCGAGCTTGTGTATTTTCGATCATACGACGTGAACTTATTAGTCCATTGCCCGGTAGCTGCAAGCCTAACCATGCGTGTGGATGAAATTTATTATCGAAATTTTCAGCAGTGGATTTGTTATACTTTAGGGAAAAAAATTAAAATAAAAAGTTCCCAATTAACAAAAACACTTCAACTTTCTGCATCTCCAGATGACGCCATGTAGTAATGCATGCCATTAGATGAAAACTAACATTTGTTTTTAAATGGGAGGTTTTGAATCTAGAACCATCTACTTATAATTTCTCACACCTTATAATTTGGTTAACTCATTTATACCTAATTAAATAAATAGGTACGAAACGAATATACCCAATTACCCATTTATGAATCACTTATAATTCAACTTTATATTTTTTTTTCACATGTTGTTTGACAAGAAATAATGATATTTTATTATTATTAGATTTATATTAAATTCAAATTTATTTGTTTAACACTCATTAAAAGTTGAGTTTAAATGTATAATTATTTTTACATGAATATAAATGGATGAGTCGAGTTAACTTATTATCCACCAATTAAATGGGTACCTATTTAGACCCATTTAAAATTAGTGGCCGGCTTATTAGTGGGTGGGTTTGGATGAATCAACATAATGAGGTTATGATTGACACCTTTGATTACGTTCATTCAAATTACCGTCCAAATCCTAGCCCAGTTGATTAAGAATATCTTCATTTGGTCGTTCAAGCATCATAGCCGTCTCTGGGATTCAATTCTGCTGTTGGTTTTCAGTCTAATAAATTTTAGAACCCCACATGATCATTCACTCAAGGTTGGTCAATAAATCAAATGTGTTTCGAATTGAATGAAACGTACTTGTCTTTCAATAACAAACTACTAGTTTGGAAATTCTTAAGAGGGTTGAAAATGGTTGCTTGATATGACTGGGCAAGCTTCTTTTAATAATAGAACTAATAAGATGCTATTGGCGTTGCGGTTCAGCACATGAGCTAGTTTCTCTGCTGAATAATTGCCAAGCACAATTGTTTTGGGCTGTCATTTTTACCACTTTTTACCTACTTTCCAGCAAGAATAGTAATGTTCTTTATTTTGCATGCTTGTTGATTAATTCTTTAATTGACCACATATAGCATGCATTTAACTAAGTAGGGGTGTAGGGGGTAATCCTCATCACTTCACACCTAGAAATGAATCAATGGGGCAGAGGAGCAAAAGTTTGATTTTTATGGTATCAGACCTGTACTATTGTACTTAGTTTCAGCATTGAATTGTTACTGTCCAGGTAGATTACAACTTTTCAACACTATCACTTGCCACTGCTGGAAGTAATATAAGTTTGTAAAATCAGTTCAGAACAAGGCCTAAATTGAAATTTTAGAAGCTATGTATAAATGTAAGAAAAGGTTGATTTGATGCAAGACAATTTCTCATTTCTATTTGATAATTTTTGGGAAGTATAGGTAAATCGAGTTGTAAGAGCTATGCGTGAAGATAAGAAAAGGTTGATCTGAAGCAAGACAACTTTTTGTCTATTTTGATAACTTTTTCGCCACTATACATTTTCTGTTGGCTACGTATTTAGCAAGATGCTCCTTCATTTGACAATTATTTGTAGCAATTATATATAGAATAGGAGGCTCATCCCTCCCCACCCCCACCACCACCCCCACCCGAATTACATATAGCATAGATATCAAATTGGAATGTCAACCATTTTCTATCGTCCCCACTCAGCTCTTACCCAATTCAAACTGAAAGAGAGACATCAAAAAAAAGCTTGCCATGGTTTGGAGGTGCCAAATCTGTAAGACCGAATTTACAACAATGTCTCAGCTTGATGCTCACAAACCAAGTGGGATGTGTAGTAAGGTGAGTAAATGAAAGAAAATGATGATGGAAATTGAACCTCCAGCCCCCTCCCCCAACAAAAAAAAAAAACAAAAAAGAAAATTCACAAGGAAGGAAGGACGGTTCAAAGTGGATGGAGATTGAGAATTGAGGAGAAGAGGAAGAAGGGCAGGTATTTCAACTGACTGGAAAGTTAATGAATTCAGATTTCAGATTTCAGATTTTAAACTTCAATTTTCAGATTAACAATTCAATAAGTTAATGAATTCAGATTTCAGATTTTAAACTTCAGTTTTCAAACTTTAGGTTTATCAAACCTATCCTAAGTGCCTATTTGATAACATAAAAAAGTGCTGAAACTGAATTCATTCAGACATTCAGATGTTGTGGGTGTTTGATAAATAAAAATTCACCTGCTGAACTTATTAAGTAGTGCTGAATTTGTATGTATTTTTTTCAGCACAAGAATCGTAGCTGAATGCTTAATTTGATAAGAATCAAGAGATTTACTTCAACTACTTTATCTTATCTACCAAATATATCCCTGTTTGTTAATTACATTCAAAATCCTTATCTAATTAAACAATATAATATTCCCTATTCAAAATCCTTATCTAATTAAACAAAACAACCTGATATTCTTTATTCAAATTTTTTTTTTAACAAATTTTTTTTTGCAGTAATTTTCATCCACAAACATTTATATTTTGATATATATTTTTTTTGTGCAGATAAATATTATTTATGTGATGCAGCTTATCCACACACACGTGGCTTTATGACACCATATCGAAATATTAGATATTGGTTGTCTAATTTTCGAAATGCTTCTCGTCCAAGATCAAAAAAAGAACGCTTTAACCAAGCACATGCAAGATTGAGAAATGTAATTGAACGTGCTTTTGGAGTATTAAAAACTCGTTTTCCCATTCTCAAAAACGATGAAACCATACCCTTTTCCCACACAAAGAAACATTGTCATTGTATGCGTTGTTCTTCACAATCATTGTCATTTTCATACCTAACAATTTTAAGTTAATTAAATCATAGGTTCTATTTCCTTTTTGGATTAAAAGATAGAAGGGCAAAATTGTACAATTTAGCTTATT